TCTTCGTGCTCATCAAAAGGTGAGGGTCGTCAAAAAGCCAGTGGCCTTAGATCTCATGCGAACATACTTCAATACGGATTTTAAAACTATATTGATGTGTTTCATATCTACCATTCACATGAAGGGGTCGCAAAATGGCTACTGGGAATACCGTTACGATAAATTCTCGAAGTCTTATATATTCAAGTTTGGAAAGTCTTTTTTGAAGCGCGAATCAATGCACCATCTGAAAATTGCAAAACTGTGACTCAACGCACGAAGATGGAATTCGATCTTATCATCGCATCGGGGTACCCGCCATGGTATCAAGAGAATTTGGAAAATAAACATGGTGTGACTTTCACTTTTCCACAGCTGAGTAACAGGAGCATTGCTCGTGCTGGCTGGATTGTTGCCATTGGTCTAGGCGATGCTGGAGCGTTACCATATTTTGCAACTTCCTTCGGTGACTTTAAACCTTTATTTCCAGGGTCTCACCACAGAGGGCCTGGACAAGGTTCTTATTGGCAGGGATGTCAGCACCTCCGAAAGTTCATCAGCGGCCAGATTGGGAAGGCATTTCCTGATAACGAGCTTATTCAAGTCACAAACCGATCGATTAAAGGAATGTTGAAGGATCACACAGGTTGAGTGATTTTTAAAAAATACTCCGCTTAAGGATGCAATGTGCCGGGGCAAGTATACAGATGATCTTGATGCATCAGATATTGATTTTGCGATCTCTATATTTAACACCCTGAAACTAGAAGAAGGGCCAGACATCGCACGTCTGCAAGTCATTCTTTTACCTGTACTTGCAGGAGCAATTAGGGGGCTTCATAAGGTTCTACAGCACCTGAACAGCGGCAGCTCTCAGTTAAGAGGGGACTTCAATGACCTGATAGCCCAGAATCTTCCTGTATTCCTCCGCGAGTGATTTATAAATAAATTCAGATGCTTGAGGCTCTAGATCACTTGTCATATCTTGATCTAGTCTCCCATACAGTACATCTCGAGCTCAATGTTATCACCTACAGTATATGATTTATGTAGAAAGACAACGAGGTGCCCAGGATCGGCAACAGGCATGGCTGGTTCGGAAATAGCTATCTATTATCCGCATTGCATAACTATGGTGATCTGTTTTCGGAATCCTCCGTACTGTACAGGATCATTTCGAAGTATCTGGCTACTCTTTTCCCATTTGGTCCCTTGTAGGCTGCTGTTCTGAGCACTGTGTTTTCTGGATAAGGGTAGTACAATACAGCGGGGGGTCAAGCGGTGTCTGGCCCTCCAAAGCTGCAGGTGAAAAGGAGGCCATTTATGGCGCCAAAGGCTGTCATTTCCGGCATCGTTTTCACAGGTCCCTATATTCTATATGTGATCTTACCTTAACATAGAGCTGTATTACAGCAATATTGCAAAATGGCGACATGATGTTTGAGTGGCAATAGAGGTGACAAGAATTAAAAAAATGCAGAAAATTAAAAGCAATAGGAAAACTGAGGGGCAAGATAGGTTACAAAAGAAACTTGCAAAGGTACTCTCTCTGCCTGTAAGGCCATTGGGTACCTCGGGAGGCCCCGTTTATTTCCAGATCTGCTTGGCGATCCCCACTCCCCGGACATGAGCGGGTAGGGCCGCGTGCCCATCGGTAGGTTGCATTAGTTAGTGCTTGTGTACTCCGTACTCCGTAAGCTATAACACCTACAGTTGGAAATAATATTTTACTTTCGATACCTGAGAATACACATCTAGATCTACCTACTACAGTGACGCAGTAAAAGTGTTGACACCCCTTAATTATTCAAATTCTGCGGGTCAAAAATTAGATTTTTCAACTCACGTATACCCGGGTCTTCGGACTTGGCTCGCCGCCCTGTAGGGGTTCGGGTCCCCATGCAAATCCGACAGAGGTCACCAAGCCCCAATGGAATAAACAGATGAAATCGCTGGTTTTCAATAGATCCAGGTTTATGTACAAAATATCGCTCAAAGGCCACTTCCGACTCCTTATGGATAATCCATCGCACCTAATGTACGACTTTATCGAATTATGTTGAAGCATATGATTACTTCCGGTTTTATACTACATACGCTACATCTCTATCAACCGCTTAAAGATGTGCCTTTTCAGTTACTAAAACATGATTATAAATCTCATAATAATGATGTGGTATTCTGGGGTGGTGGTGTAAAGCAGAAGACCGGTTTCCTTGCCGGGATCCACGAGTACGCACGAAGGCCCTTACAACGCGCACTATATGGCATGGATTTCGAGAATAAGGTATCTGGCCCATTAATGCCGAGAAATGTCATAGAAGGAGCGTATTTACCGATGATGACCTTTATAAAATGCCAGAATCTATAATTCATGATATCACTACCCGAACTACACCACCACCATCGAGTTCTTTACCAAATCCACTACCAGGAGCCGTACAAACACTACGAGAAGCAAGCAAAAAGGTCACAAAGGATATGCGAAACGATGTTTCGATTGCATTCAAAATCTAGAAAGCCCTATGTCAAATTTTGACTGGCGGTCTTAAGATATTTTGTGCAGCCTTATACTCTATTGCGGTTTCTATATGAATACTACCTAGGTAAAAGCTAGTATATATACTCTAAAGTAGCTTGAACCTAAGGAGTACCTCATAATATACCTAACTACCATCAATAAAATAGCTAGTAATAGCTATAAATACCTATAAGAGTAGAGAGATTGTGAGATAGTGGATTTTTGCGATCTATTTAGTTTTAGGTAGAGTCCTACATATCTGTCATCCATACTATACATTGCTATACACATTGATTTTTAAGTCTATATGGTATATACTATATGTACGCCCAAGGGTATAGACTTCGCATTTCTTTGAATCAAAGAAGCGCAGCGAAGGACGAATCGGCAACCTGCGATTCCTTCCAGCCAACACACTTCCAGCAACTCAACAAACCTTTGGGATCATATTTGTGCTTAACACTCAATAATTTCTCATAGTTATCACCCCACCACGCCTCGATCCAATCAATCGTGAACGGGTTGGCCTCGTTGCTGTACGCACCACCGCCAGGGGTAATGCCCTCAATGATGGCCGTCATACTCTGGATGGACTGGATCTTCTGTATCCGGGTGGAAATGGTAGCGTTCCACTCCCAGGAGGCACCGGATCCCAACTCCCAGATAGCCTCACGCCAGGCGGGAGAAGCACTGGTTGATCCTTCAGTGTAGTTGTACAACACTGGTCCGACGACGGGGATGTAAGGCGTCTGGCCCATTGATTGGATGGTCGCGAAGAATGTCATGAGGTTCGTGCGGCCCTCGACGGTCTCGAAGGTGGAGCGGGGGATCAGTCGGCTTCCGGGGAAGCGAGTGACGCCGACAGCGACGGAGCTGGTCTTGACGTATTTCTCGTAAAAGGGGTACCAAGAAGTGAACTCTTCGATCGTGGCGGAGCCGCCGTTTGCTTTGGCGTAGGTGATGACACTTGCCAGAGAGACCTCGGCTTCCTTGACGGAGAGGAAAGGAGAGACGTTGACGAGGGTGTTACCAGTGATGTGGCCACCCCATCCTTCCTCTCCCCATTTAAGAGTGTTGTTGACGACAATCTCCATGAATGGAAGCATGTTAGTGGAGTTGGTGGGAAACTTGATGTTGGCAGCGACAAAGCGGATAGCAGGCTCGACACGGTGAGTGCTTTCGAGAACCACGCCAAAGGTTCCACCGCCACCACCACGGAGGGCCCAGAAGAGGTCGTGGTTCTGGAACTCGTTGGCGGTGCGGTAGACACCGTCTGGAGTAACGATTTTAAACTCGAGGACGCGGTCAACGCCGAGACCGTACACCGGGCTCAAGATGGAATGGCCGCCATTTTGTATCCAGCCGCCTGAGACACCGACGGTGGGTGAGTAGCCACCAAGTATGGTTACGTTGTTTTGCTGTGCAAATTCGTAGGCCTCATCGAAGTTGACTCCGGCACCGACGGTGATAGCTTGATATCTGCGGGCGGTTTTTTTGGAACCGTGGGGGGCAAAGTCCGCACTGTAGTGCATAGATCGCAGGTTTCGCGTCCAAAGGGACAGCGTGTCACGGCCACTGCTGCGGGTAAGGTAATCATGGCCACTATTTTTGATGACGACCTTCTTGCCGGAGCACTTGGAGAACCTGAAAGCTTCAATCACGTCCTTTTTGTTCTTCACTTCAAGATAGTGAGAGGGTAGATTGCCCTGACGACAGGTGGCATTGACGAACGCCAGGGAATCCATGGGATTGCTGCTGTCGAGGAGACACTGATCGCTAGGATCGGATGCCCACATCTCATCCTGGTTGTTCATGTAGCCATTAGGAGAATTTGTTCGCAGCCATGGATCCGAGTAGTTCGCCTGGATAGCAGCGCAGGCAGCATTGTCGCGAGCTACCGGGTTCCCATTGTAGTTGGAGAAACAGGGCAAGGAGAAAGGGGTTAAAATCTGGACGCGCCCTCCAACTGTTGCATTGAGGGCATCCAAAGTGCAGTGCTTTGCAACAGTAGAGCTTATTAAGGCCAATAGGACCAGGCCGGATAATTTGGACATTCTTGGCGATTGCAGAATGAGGGATGAAAATCACGACAAAAAGTATAACGAAGGCAGAAAGATGAACCAAAAGAAGTGAGACACACTAAGATTGATTGAGAAGCACTAGAAAAGGTACAATATACGAGGTACAACTAAGAATAGGCCAATTTAGGTGAAGGATCACCTTTACGAGCCAATGATCTATATCATTGGTTAATAATTATATTACTGGCCGCATCCTACAAACTTTGAATCTCGATGATCGAGAAGAAATTAGTAATTTCACTAATTCCACTCATTAAGTTTGCATAAGTCCACTTAAAATTTCCTGGATAGTCCAATGAGTAAAGACAGAGTTTGAGTGGTGACCTCAACCTAATTTCCCCTGTTTAGCCTCTTTCAATACAACCCAGGGTCTTGAAGAATATGTTTTCCATTTTTCCATTTTTCCATCCCCCCCCAATATGGCTAACATGGAACACAAAGTGAATACATATTGGAAAAATGTCCTCACTATTGTGCCGATTGTAGGGGCTGGGGTGGCTACTATGATCTACCTGTTACGTCTCTACTGCAGGCGGATGAAAGCGGTGGGGCTTCAGCTGGAAGATTACCTAATGGGAGTCGGTCTGATCATCTCCTTCGCTGTGACGGCTTTTGTAGTAGATAGTGAGTATTCCTTTGTTTTTATACTAACAATGCTAACAACGCTCACTATCAAAAGCCGCCTTCAATGGTGTCGGTCTCCCCATCGCATCGCTCCCCAAACATGAACGGCAGCGTGTTCAATTCGTATGTTATAGATGCATAACTTTGATAGCATGGGAGCATCTAACAGTATCTCGCAGGGATCATGGATGATACAAAAATTCTGGGCCCCGTCAATGGCATTTGTCAAGATCTCGATTGTCATCTTTATCAAACGACTGTTCGGCTCGATCCGGGCATACGTCGTTATTTCCTACTGTCTGGTCGGATTTATCGCCACATGGGCTCTCGCTGCCCTGTTGACCAATATCTTCCAATGCACACCGGTGCAATACTACTACAACAAAAATTTGAAAGGACACTGCATGTCGGGACAGGTTCAATTCTTCCAGACTATGGGCTCGATCGCATTGATTGAAGATATTATCATCCTCTGTCTGCCAATTCCTGTATTTTGGAAGTTACAGATCAACACTCGGCAGAAAATAGCGTTAATCCTGGTGTTTTCTCTGGGTGGACTGTACGTGACCCCTCCATAACATGATATATCGCTTCCTTCTAACGACAACTCGTAGTGTCTGCATCTTCAGCCTGATGCGCCTGATTGAATTCCGCGAATTTCAACTCACCGACCTTGCGGGTTCGTGCCTATCCCTAACTCATACAATGACTCCCAACTAACACCATCTAGCCTCAAGTGCTAAAGAGTCCATCTGGACTTGCCTCGAACTCGACGTGGCCATCATTTGTGGCTGTCTGCCGTTCCTTAACCCACTCGTGCAAGGTGTCCGCAGCAAAGTCAGAAGTGAAGCCTCAAAGTATCATTCTCAACCTTCTACCGGATCCAACTTGCATTTACGCACGTTGCGGGGAAACAAAGGCGAGTTTCGAACGCTCAATAGTGATTGTGGAGCGTCAACGCACTCAGATAGCCACAATGCCATGACTACGGCAAGCCAAAAGAGCTCCGATATGGAGAATAATACCCAAGTTGTGGACGGGCGGTCCAACAATATCATGGCTTCATAATTGTTAAATACACAATCAATTTCATTAATACTTATTCCAACTCCCCCAATATATTGATTCCTAGATTGATAATCTAGCAACGAAGCTCGCTGTGGTCGTTGCTGATGCATTTGTCTTCAACCCCAACGTGTTAGTCTTTTCCGGAGAGTAGCTTAGCCATTCCCAAGAATTGATTTACTCAGGCCAAGAGTAGTAGCAACATATTTGTGATCATCCTCGGAGTTACGGCACTGACAGGACAACCCCGCGATTCCTTGAAGGGTGCAGTTGATGCAAGAGTCGGAATAACTCCCACTGCTTTTGTTACTCTTTGTTCTTCGACCCCAATAATATCCTTTATTAGAGGTCCGACTTCCCTTTTTCCACACTATAGGTATGTTAGCATGGTTTAAGTCCGAGTGTTTAAGATGGAAGTTAAATTCAGAGGAGTTCCAATGCTTTGATACAAGTTGATATAGCCAACACTGGATTAGTCTACTAGAAGTGAATCCTTCCTATTTAATCTTCACACCCCACACTAGGTCCACACGCTTGCTTGCATATTCTACTCCTTGTCCACGATGTAAAACAACCTGTCTCCCCTCGGAAATTGATGCTCCTGGCTAGGAAGTTTAAGGGCCTTGATATACGATTGATCAGTGATGCGAGCACATCACGAGCGGGTTACCACACTATCTCATTCGAGTACTTTGAGATGTCTCTTACTTCAGGGATCTCTTACTTCAGATATTTTTCAATTTAGTATCTTGTTCTAGTATTTTATCCTTCACAACCCACTCTTAAGCCCACATAGCCTTGAACTTGGTATCAAACTCGTTGTGCAGTTCTTTGAAGGCCTTGGCAACCAAGAACATAGATCTGTGAGAGTTGTCCACTGGCTTCTCTTGTGTAGTTTTAGAGGTGACGGCCGTATCTTTGGCAGCACTGATGGCTTCATCCTCGCTCTCATCATCCTCGTCATCCATCTCATCCTCCCAGCTATCCATCACAACCTTCTTCACTCGGGGGCGAGAAGTGGGGAGAGAAGCAGCAGGAATTGGCTGCTTGTTGTCTAGCTTCACATCCAACTTTCCAGCATTTTCAGCCTCAATCTGATCAACGGCCTTATCGTCCACGAGATTCTCATAATCGTCACCTCCGCCAGTAACATCAAGCATGTCCGCACCGATATTGCCTCCAGGCTTGAGGAAGCCCTCAATACTGGTCTTGATGGTGGCCAAAGTCATTGAGAAGTCGTTCAGCACAAACCAGATGTCTCCGCGGCGGATGCGGTTGGCAGTCTCCAACTGAGAAACATTTCCGTGCTTGAAGAAGTCATACAGGTAAGCATTGAGAGGGACCGCGTTCTCGTTGGGGTCAGCAGCCACATATGGAATGACGGAATCCTCGATCCAAACACCACTGCGAACCATCTGACTAAGTTCAAAGATGGTATTGCATTGGTCTCCGTTTCCTGAAAGGGCGAAGAATGGGGACACGATCGATGGGGAGATGTGGTCGAATTGTGAGAAACCGAGCTTCTCCGACGTACTTTCTCCGCCGCACTTGATCCCACTGAATGGTAGCAAACAGTCTGGTTCCTTGATATGCTGCTTGGCAAAAGTGGAGACGTAGCCAGTGTAGATGTCAAGGACCTGCTTATTTTGAGCACGTAGGGCTGAGGCTGCCCTTCTCGGTAAAGGTGGAAGAGCCACGATCGAGGAAGGCTTCCTTTCTGCGTTTTGGAACCATTCCAAAGTGGACGCTCGCAGGGGAATACGCCCGAAAAGGTGGGCCATGACCAGCATCAGAGTATGAACAGTCCTTTTAGGCTTCGTCTCGATGTCCTGACAGAGATCTTGGAGGTATCCCGAATTCAGTAGGGCATGGAAAGCAAAACTGGAATTCTCTGTATAGTACAGATGAGAGATACAGCCCGCAAAATTCAAAGCCATACCTGTGCCGCTGAGAAGATTGTTTCGTCGGAGGTATTCGATAGAGAATCGGAGGTGGTGGAGCACGGTTTGCTTCATCTCAGGGCCACCGAGGTGCATGCGAGAACTTGAGAGTATCGAGTTGATTGATTTCACGGCAGATGGAGCTTGCTTTGAGCCATGTAGCAAGATGAACAGCCGTAGAACCAAACTGGTTGTTATGGGGAAATGTCCACTGAGACTTGGGAGTCTCGAGCTCATCAGGCGTTGCACCTTGGATGGTGGAACCTGCTGGAAAACAACATTTCCCAGGACGTCAAATCCACGGCGACCTGCTCTTCCGGCGGCTTGTCGGAAGTTCAAGGCTGTCAAGAAAATGGAATCGCCCGAAAAAACGACAGTCTTACAAGGCATGTTGATACCCAAGGCCAAAGTACCAGTTGCAATCACGACACGCAAAAAGCCCTTCCTGAAGAGGATTTCACAAACTTGGCGGTACTTGCGGTTCATACCAGCATGATGGACACCGATTCCTCGCTCTAGGGCATCTATCAACCATTGAGGCACCGAGCGCCACTGCAGCTGCTTGGAATACACAAGGAACTCGGAGGCGGGGACTTTCTTGAAGTCAGCCAAATGGAATCCATCCACAGGCCTCTTCGGGTCAAAGAGATCAAGCCAACCGAAATCAGTGGATGCTGATTCCTTGGCTTGCTCTGCCTTGGAGGTTGGCTCTTCGTCGGCGTTTCCACTTGTTTTCTTCTTGGTAGCCCTTTCAAGCTTCTTCTTTGCTGACAGCTTAGATGTCTTCCATACTTCCCATTTGGCAATCTTGGATTTCCATACCGGACTCTCTTCTTTCCATTTTGTCTCGGCATTTTGTAGTTGTGTCAAGAGCTCTTGGCATATATCTTCACACCTACCGCGGTCGTAATTGAAGAATAGCGCGGGGAGAGCATTCTGAGCGTGTAGCGAGGAGATCAAAGGGAGGGTTGTGTCGACCAGGTTACCGCTTAGGGTGTCAGATAGGCCATTCATCCGAGACACCTGTTTCGACAAGTCCTTTTCTTTTTCGACGACGAACCCTGTTGGGTGGTCAAGATTGCGCAAGAGTTTCTCAAATGGAGATTCTTGGTCTTTCATCCACTGCCCTAACAACATTTTCAGCTGTCTCTGCCATTCTATGACGTGCACTTTTTGAATGACAATATTCGAGAAAAAGACGGTCGGATCCAGAGATGGATCAACAGGGAACTGCTTTGTTTGAAGGTCCTTCATTGCTTTCCACAAAGTGAAACAGTCACGTGGCTCAAAGTCAAGATCATCTGGTATCGATCTGGTGCGGTCCAGCAAGCTGGTGACAGGATGCACGAACGTCATATCATCTGATCCATCGAGGCCCAAACGGGCCAAGCTAGGAGTACTGGCGAACCCTTTGAACGCGAAGTCACCATGAGGCTGGTACACGTACTTTCGCAAATCCGAATAACGGTGCTGATGCTGGATCATCTTAAGCTCGAATCCATTAGTTCTCTGGGCAAAATCTAGCCAGTTGTAGAATTCCTGGGGGTTTCCGACGGTAGCTGAGAGGGCGATGATTGGGCATGGGGACATTAGAAGCAGCTGTTCCCAAACGACACCATCCTCGGCCTGGCCGATACAATGAATCTCATCGAAGATGATACGCCTCAAGCGGGGAGTCCATGCACTAGCGTTCGAGGGGTTAAGCAGCATGATCTGAAGAATCTGGGGAACCGTGATGAGAATTTGGCATCCCTGTGGGTTATTGATGCGGTAGTCTCTTGTGTGAATGGCCCAAACTGATTTTCCACTGGTTTTAGCGGGGAATGATTTGGAAAATCGGGCTTGCACCTCAGCTGCGATCTGATTGACAAGAGCCTTTGTGGGAGCAACATAAACAAGAATTCCATCGTTATCTTCTTTCAAGATCTGTCTCATTGCATAGAAGCTGACGAATGTTAGCATGATCATGATTCTGATTCAGGACATATTGTGACTTACGAGATGAATGTTTTTCCTGCACTCGTCGGGGCCACGATGAATGCGCTCTTCTTTGCATCGATCTGATCCAACACTTCACGCTGCCAGCGATCGGGCGCAAAATCAGGTGTCCGGGAGTCGGGCAATGAGTCTATGCTGCGCTCCATGAAGGGCCCGCCGTGTAGAAGCTGGAATTCAACTGAGCTCATCTCGATACTCATGCTAGGTGCCGCTTTAGGGATCTTGAACGACGGGAAAGATAATTTCTGTTCACTGTCGGCATGAAGCTGAGCAGCCGGCAAACCAAGTATTTGACAGGCAGTCGAAACATATGCAACAATATCGGATGAGATGCCTTGCTTGATTTTCACGAGGCAAGTGACGATTTCCCAAATGCGTGTCACGACCAAAATGTGCTTTTTGCTCTGCACACTTGTGTGTTCAACGAAAAGAAGTCGTAGCAATGTGTCGATCATACAAGTCAGGATTTCAGGTTCCAGAACCTGTCGACTGTCTTTGGGCAGACTAATCAAGTATCCGTTGAGCCTTGTAAAACGAGACACAAGATCACCAATGAGAGCAAATTCGTCATTATACATATTTTTCCACTTCTGTCTCTGTTTTTGAGTGACTTCCATTGCTTTTTGGTGAACGAAAGCTGCGGCCATCTCTTTGGTGGATGGTTTGCCAGATTTGGAATTAGATTTCTTGTCTGATTTCGAGGCTGTCGAGTGGGTTCCAACCTCTCTGTTTGCCGAAGGGTTTTGGTGGGACTTCTGGCGTGAACCGCTGGAAGATTCAACGACAATCGGCTCTGGCTGTGATCCTGAGAGACTTGCAGCATAATCTCTCATCTCGGCCATAAAACGCTGGTTCCGTTTGTGGTTTCGCTCAACCTCTTGGGGCGTTAAGATAACTTTCTTTTGATCAAGGGGCCTAGAGCTATGCCAGTGACTATCTTCTTTGAATTCCTTGAAAACTTGTGAATCATTCTTCGCGTCCGCAGATTCATCAATTGCGAGATGAACAGGCTTCAGAAGCTTATCGAAGACTGCATTGCTGAATGGAAGCACCTTTTCAAAGCCA